TCTGCAAGGTAAGTATCATTGGTGTCAGTGGAATAGTGCCCCATCATTGGTGTCACTAATACCAATAATGGGGCACTATTCCTCCCACTGACACCAACGATGGGACACTATTCCTCCCACTGACACCAATGATGGGGCACTATTCCTCCCACTGACACCAACGATGGGGCACTATTCCTCCCCCAAATGACACCAACGATGGGGCACTATTCCTCCCCACTGACACCAAGGATTGGGCACGATTCCTCCCCCCACTGACACCAACGATGGGGCACAATTCCTCCCCCCACTGACACCAAGGATGGGGCAGTATTCCTCCCCCCACTGACACCAAGGATGGGGCACTATTCCTCCCCCCACTGACACCAAGGATGGGGCACTATTCCTCCCCCCACTGACACCAATGATGGGGCACTATTCCTCCTCCCACTGACACCTATGATGGGGCACTATTCCTCCCACTGATACCAATGATGGGGCACTATTCCTCCCATTGATACCGATGATGGGACACTATTCCTCCTCCCACTGACACCTATGATGGGGCACTATTCCTCCCACCGACACCAATGATGGGGCACTATTCCTCCCACCGACACCAATGATGGGGCACTATTCCTCCCACTGATACCAATGATGGAGCACTATTCCTTCCACTGACACCAATGATGAGGCACTATTCCTCCTACTGACACCAATGATGAGGCACTATTCCTCCCACTGATACCAATGATGGGGCACTATTCCTCCCACTGATACCAATGATGGGACACTATTCCTCCCACTGATACCAATGATGGGGCACTATTCCTCCCACTGATACCAATGATGGGGCACTATTCCTCCCACTGATACCAATGATGGGGCACTATTCCTCCCACCGACACCAATGATGGGGCACTATTCCTCCCACTGATACCAATGATGGGGCACTATTCCTCCCATTGATACCGATGATGGGACACTATTCCTCCCCACTGATACCAATGATGGAGCACTATTCCTTCCACTGACACCAATGACGGGGCACTATTCCTCCCACTGACACCAATGACGGGGCACTATTCCTCCCACTGACACCAATGACGGGGCACTATTCCTCCCACTGACACCAATTAGGGGGAACTATTACTCCCACTGATACCAATGATGGGGCACTATTCCTCCCACTGACACCAATGACGTGGCACTATTCCTCCTACTGCAAAATTACAGTTATGTAGTAGCAACGAAAATAATTTTATGGTTGGGGGTCACCACAACATGAGGAACTGTATTAAGGGGTCGCGGCGTTAGAAAGGTTGAGAACCACTGGATTAGAGGTTTGTGTACAAGCCAGTAACTGTTTGTAAACAAACTGAAAACAGAAAGGGACTAAATCCTCTTAGCTTCTAGTTTCTGATGTCACACAGTAAAAGGACCAACATCAGTTCCTCTCACTGTGGGGTTTATTTACTAAAGCTGGAGAGTGCAAAATCAGGCTCACTTCTGCATAGAAACCAATCAGCTTTCAGGTTTTATTGCCAAAGCTTAATTGAACAAGCAAGCTGAGGTTAGAAGTGGAATAGTTTCTAGGTAGAAGTGAGCCTGATTTTGCACTCTCCACCTTTAGTAAATATACCCCAGTGTCTCAGACATTGGTTGTTGCCGGTTGCATACGTTACCTGGCTCCCCAAATGGGATGGCAAAGCCTGGTAAAGGCGGTGGAGGAGGGGGGGCCCATTCCGTCACCTGTAAAATTAATGCAGCGTCTCTGCTACTTTTATAGTGAAGGGAATCGCTGGCCGTAAAAAAAAATGTATCACCCTGGATGGGAAATTGTTAATATGGTTTTGGTTTTTTACAATGCAGAGGTTTGCCAACTCCATTTCTATTTTTTTTTTTGCAATTAACAAGCATCATTTTTTGTAATTTTTAAGATTGCCACTAGATGTCCTAGGAGTTTTGCTTTACAATACTACTCACATGTAGGTTTAAATACTTTATAATTTTATCTATTACAGGTATTATAGCGCCAACAATTTACACAGCACTTTACATATATATTGTACATTCACATCAGTCCCGGCCCTCAAGGAGGTTACAATCCACAATTTGATTTATATTATTAGCATATAACATAAAATTATCATTAGCACTCTGTTTTTCAATGTACGTCTTTGCAAACAATTTTTCACAATTGTTATAGTCCCATAATGTACAAGTATACTTATCTCTTGGGAATTAAAATACATAATTATATTTAAACTTTAAAATGCAGCAATATAATTGGATGTGCATTTCCAGCCAAAATCCTTTTTCAAATTTATGTAAAAGTTTGCAATAAAACCTTCATACGGTTTGGCAACACACGTGTTTTTTTTCTATTGCCATGTTGGATTTTATTTATTAGTGTATCTGGTTTTACTCCTCTGTATTTTTGTTGATAACCACACTAACTACTACAGTATATCTCCATTAGCCCCTGCTAGCTTCAATTTCTTCTCAGTTTATCTCAGTGTTTCTCAACCTTTTTTTCAGTCAAGGCACCCTTTAAAATTATGGACAGTCCCAAAGCACCCTACACAATTATGGACAGTCTCGAAGCACCCTATAAATTATGGACAGTCTCGAAGCACCCTATAAATTATGGACAGTCTTGAGGCACCCTCAATTCTATTATGGAGTGCCTCAAGACTTTCCATTATTTTAAAAGTGCACCCAATTCTAAAATGTGAAAAACTATTCTAATAGTTTTATATAACGCAGCAACATCCACACATGTAGGACACCCAACATTAGAGGTGATTTATTCTTCCAAAGCAAATACACTTTTGCACACTGGTACTGACTAGTATTCCAGTGTTTCTCTCTCTTCTCCCTGTTTTCTCCATCACTGACCTAATGTGACCCCAGCACTGATGGAGAGGGGCAGAGGAGGGTCAAACTAGGATGCTGTGCAGGCAGCTGACATCCTCCGTTTCAACTGATGTCATTGATTGTCAGGACACCAGCGGCTAGAAGGTGGTAATGGTGTACAATGAAAACCTGTGGCTTTGTGTATCTAAAAGGCAGGCTTTTTCCACCTGCTGGCTTGTATACAAGTTTTGGGCAATTTTTAGTCATTTTGCCAAGGCACCCCTTAAGAAACCTCAATGCACCCTGGTTGAGAAAGGCTGGTTTAGTTTATGTTATGTTCGTTTAAAATCTTTTCAAACAATTTACCCATTCTTGCACCCATCACATTTATACTGTCCTTAAATTGATACTAAAAATATCATGTTTAATTTTCAGAGTAAGTGATCCGCACCACCGTTTCTGCTTTTAAAGTGTTACTAAACCCATAACAGTCAAATCAGTCTGTATATGATGTAAAGCATGCTTGTTATACTCACTGTGGAACCTAAGGGGTTAACCCTCTGCATTATGTAAAAAGGCCCTTCTTCTCTGTTTCTGTTTCTCCTCTTTTTTCAAGCAACCACCTCTTATCTCCAGACTGAACCATAGGCATGCACATGCTCAGTTTGTTGTGTATTGCCAGAGAGGTTTTTTCTTTTCTTGGGAGAGCGCATGTGATTAGCACAGGGCCAATCAGCACTGTCCAGACAGAGGGTCAGGGGATTTGCATCCTTCAAGAGCAGAAAGAAAACTTCTCCTACAAGCTTTAGCTAGTGGTGAGCTGGTTACAGACAGAAGTCACAAGTCTGCTCTAACTTCTGATGAGAAAAGGTATTTAGCAGTTTATATTTACTAAAACAATTGCATGTCCATGTTCTGTGTACTGTGGGAGACCAAATATACTGGATGCAAGGTTCTGGGTTTAGTAACACTTTAAAATCTTCCGTTTATTAATAATTCCAGTGTACAGTGTGGAATTATTAATAAATTGAAGATTTTAAGAGCAGAAATGGTGGTGTGGATCACTTAGGCCTCATGCACACAGGACATTTTTAAACTCTCCTATTGACAGCAGCATTTTGGCATAAAAGTGTAATGCTTTTACAAGCGTTTAGGCATGTATACAGGCATCAAATGTTTTGGAATTAATTTCATTAGCCAGGATAATTTATCCTGCCATTTAAATGAATTAACGCTCAAGCGCTAAATGCACCTATCGCAACAAGTGTTTTTTTTCGACCAAAATACTGCTGTTCCTGGATGCACTAGCCCTGGGTTTTTTTCCTGCCTGTAATTGCCCCTGCCATTAAAAACTCCTAAAAGTCTATGTGTGAATGGATAAATAGGACAACATGGAGGGGTGTTTGAAGCAGTAAAAAACAAAAAAAAAACGCTTGACGCCCCTAAAAGTGGCTCCAAAAAAAGAAGCCTGTGAGCATAAGGCCTTACTCTGAAGGTTACTTACAGCTATGCGACTGCAGATGGGGCACGTGTAAGCTCTCCGATTCTTTACATAAATTAAATGGGTAGCAGCACCTGGTATATCACAATGTTAAATTGCCATTATCCCTTCCATTTATGTATAAGGATTATACCACTGTATTTATTTTTACCCTATTTATTAATTGCTGTTCAGCAATCACATGAAGTTTCTCAAGTGTTTCCTATCTTTAGGGAAAGATCTTAGGAAGGAGTTTCTTTCAACTGTGTTGATGTATAAATCTGTGCCTACACAGCGCTAATTGATGCTGTGCCGGTCACATGACATTAAAAAGCTTTCAGAATAGAGGATTAAAATAATTATTTGCAACATAGTGTTTTAAAGCCAAATTACAAATATATATTTCAAAGCAAATGTGTATTTTTTTTCAAATAACGTGGTGTAGGTGATGTTTACGTTGACTGTCAATTTTCACTTTGTTCACACTGTAAAGATATCTAGAGGAGGTTTCTGTGCCACACCCCTTCCGCATATGTGTATATGGTGTGTATGTGATGGGACTAAGAGGGAGGTGAAACCTCCATCAAACAACATCCTGTATCCTGTCCCCATAGTGTCTAGCAATAGGAGGAGGAGAGAGAGGAGGGAACTGTCATTACTACTGTGTATACACCCACATGTGTGATTCTTTAGTCCCATGGGCTGCACAGATAAGAAAAAGGAGCAAATGAACAGCTTATAAGGGAAATGAAACTGAAGCATGCTCAGTGGATGTCAACAGCTGGTCTACACAATGTCTGGCTGCAGCAGGGACACAGACAAGGGGGATTGAACATGAACAGCAGGATCAACCAGGAGTTTAGCAGTCTACATAAAACAAATGCTCTAGTGTATGAGCGAGTATGAATATGTAATATAGCATGCATTGTTTTTGATGATTTGGGTTTAATGACACTTTAAGGCCCCTTTCGCACAAAGGGTCCGATCAGGTCCACCAGTCTTTCAGTTGGATTTGATCGGACAGTCCATTCACCTCTATAGACTGTTCCCTAGCTCCAATCCACACCAATCCAGTCAGCTAAAAAAAACAAAAGGG